TTTGCAGGTAGCTTTAAAATAAAATTTTAATACTTCATGATAAAGTTTCAGTTTGTATAAGTAAGCATCGTCAACCAAGGGCCCAAAGCAACCCATAGTAAAATAATCCCCTTCACATTTTTTTTCAAACCCTACTGAGGATACGTCAAACTCGCCTGAATATATTCGTCACATATATTCACAGATACTAGTGCATGAAATACCTGCGCATGCGGAAAACGTCCATTTGGCTCAAAACCATGATTCAATAATGAAAGGTTTTGTAAGAAAAACTTTCTCTCGCTCTAATTTTATCAGGGACACTCCCACCCTACTCCTAAAAACAAGAACAGTGATATTTCTTTTCCAAATTTCTTTGCAGGTTTTAGGAACATTTTTCAGTTTTTAGTAGTGAATTTTTTTACTTTATAAATTTGAAGAAATGTTTGTTCTTCATTCGCTGGCGACAACATGACAAAATGGGTGAGAATCGTTATACTACAGAAATGCAATGTACATAGGCTAAGGAGACGAAGTTCCTTTAAATGCCGAAATGTATTTGTCAATATTCGGGGAGACCTCTTGACTCTGTCAAGTCTCTGTAAAGTAAAGAGCGTGTTCTGGTAAATGAGTCAACGAAGGTCCTCCACAACACATTCCTGGTGTCTCCGAATGAGACTTTGACGCAATATAATATTGGCAAGCCGCATCCGTGAGCCCAATAGTAACACAGGATAGCTCGGTTTAGGCAATGCCGCGATGTAATAGCTTACGGCACTTCTCATTTGACGATGTAGATCACGTTCGCTGTGTCAGTCGTTCAAGTGCTGTGTGTTCTTTTTATTCTTCCTGAGTTCATCCAGCACGAATTGCCAATCGTGACTGTGTAAGCCAATGTTTAATATTTTGACGCTGGCATAATTTCCCCGTTGTGCATACTATTTAAAATTAAATGTAGAAAAATGTATAATTACAGGCTTATAAGCCTGAATATATGTTTGTATCGTCAGCTCCACACAGCTTGGACATATATTGTAACTTATAAAAAAGTAAATGCCGCAAAATAAAGCAATTTCCTATAAGACTAAATGATTTTTGAAATAGATTAAAACACATAAATATCGATAATATAAGCGAAATCGTAATTTAATCATACTGCCGCTCTATTCTAGTGTATCAGTAGTCCATTTGGCTATTATTTGCTAAAGTTGCTAAATCCAAACACATTGCGAAGATAGTTTACTGCTAATATAGCAGTATTAAATATATGATTATTAGAACATTGAACGAGTACTTAACCTATACAGTGTTTTAATCCAGTAGTCAAAGTTCAAAAGGTGCATATTATATTTCAAAAAAAGTAATTTTGCAGTCTTTTCTCCCATGAGATGATTTCTTAGAGGCTCTTATATAAGGAAGGCTGCACTGAATAATTAATTGCTCACTTGGAACGCTGGCGGGTGGAGCGCTCAAATCTGTCAATTTGTCGTAGTGAAGTTCAGTTTTCCACCAATCGAGAGGATTTTCACCGAGATGAGCTCGTGCTTCTTTAAGATAGGCATTCAATTGAGCTTTAATTTCAAATTTTTTATTGTCTCCATATTCTACATCCGAGCCTTCGATTTCGCTGGAGGAATCTAAAATTATTTCTAGATTGCTTATAAGACTGTTAGCAGTACTTGTTAAAGGCCCATCAATTTGCTTGATATACTACTTAACCGTTTAGCGCCTGAAGCTAAAAGCCGGTTATTGTCCGCGCCCTGATTAGACAGACTTAGAGCCATTTCAACAATATTAGAGTGGACTCTCTGCCCATGTACACATTCGGAAAATATTCGTATAATTTTATGCGAATGTCGAATGCGAATGTCGAATGCGAATGTGTAAAATGATGCGAATCATTAGCATAACGAATGCGAATGCAAATATTCGCGACATCCCTGGAAGGTTTTGATTTTAACAAATTATCATTAATAACACAAATTATTTTTAAGAACTACAACTAAAGTTTCACTTTTTCCCCTCTTTGGTAATGCCATAATATAATTAATAGAAAAATTTTGCCACTAAACTGTTTTCGGATTCGTCCTTTTTTTACTTTATTTGGTGCTAGTTATACAAATACAATACATCCAGTTTCAGGCTTGATTACCCCACTGTGTGCCGTGATAAACAAATTGATGGATGAAACTATTTGTTCGCCGGAATTTACGCAAAATATTGCCACACAATTGCAGGGTGCATCAATGGAACTATGATGAACATAGACGCCCCTAAGGTTACATAGTAACAATTTGTTAACCGGTACGGCAATCATTTAATTAATGCAATGTGGTTTTTGTGTTTTTGTTACTGAATTATTTTGAAAAGATCCAAATGAATAATCCTAAAATGTAGAAAAATATAGTTATTTATATAAACATACATATGATAGTCAAGACGAACTTACTTTTTTTCCATAATAATTTTTAAGATATCAATAACGGGCCTGAAAAACAACAAAGCTCTCTGACAGCTTTCCAGCTGAGTATTTAAAGTATGGTGGCGAGGAGTTGATAAGGTGCATGCATCTATGATCAGACGAACGCATGCGCGACGACTGGAATTTAAGTGTGCTCTGCCCAATCCACAAGAAAGGCGACCCTGCCATTCGCGCCAACTATCGAGTGTATTGTGCGAAAGACTGAAGCCCACCGTCAACGAACTGATTGGACCTTATCAGTACGGCTTCATACCTGGCTGTTATTCACAATATGCCAAATCTTGGAAAAGACCCGCGAGAAAAGGATCGACACTCACCACCGATAGCACTAAATGGAAATGCTTATACGCCGCTATGTCTGAACTTGGCATCTCCGCCAAACTGATACGGCTGTGTAAAATGACGTTGAGCTCCGTCAGAATTGAGAAAGAGCCGTTCACCACAAAACAGGGTTTCAGACAGGGCGACGCCCTCTCATGTGACTCCTTTAATCTGATGTTGGATAAGATAATAAGAGCTGCAGAACTAAACCACTCAGGAACAATCTACTACAAGAGCGTGCAATTGCTGGCGTATGCCGATGCATCGGCATCATCGGTAACAAAAACCGCGAAGTCTTTTCTGCCTTTTCCAAGTTGGATGAGAAAGCAAAGCGAATGGGCCAGGTGGTAAACGAGGACAAGACGAAGTATTTCCTGTCATCAAACAAACAGTCAGCACATTCGCGCTTTGGCACCCACGTCACTGTTGACAGTTCTAATTTCGAGAAAGTAGAGAATTTCGTTTACTTTGGAACCAGCATAACACCGATAATAATGTCAGCATAGAAATCCAACGCAGAATCACCCTTGCCAACAAGTGCTACTTTGGACTGAGCAGGCAATTCTGGAGTAAAGTCCTCTCGACGTACGAAAACCATGCTCTATATGTTACTCATGCCCGTGCTGGTATATGGCGCAGAAGGATGGAATATGGAATATAACAACAACCGATGAGGCGGTTTTTGGAGTATTCGAGAGAAAGATTTTACGGAATATTTACGGGCCTTTACGCGTTGAGTACCGTAGACGATAGAACGATGAGCTGTATGATAGTGCAGCGAATTAAAATACAGCGGCTCCACTGGCTAGGATCCATGTCGTTCGAATGAACACCGACGATCCAGCTCTGAAAGTATTCATATCGCAACCCGCTGGGGTGTAGCAGAGGAAGAGGGAGGCCCCCACTGGGATGGGAAGACTAGGTGGAGAAGGACTTGGTTTCACTTGGCATTTCCAATTGGCGTCAGTTGGTACAGAAGGGAAACGACTGGCGTCATTTGGTGAACTCGGTCAAAATCGCTTAGGCAGTTACAGCGACAAATAAGAAGAAGAAGAATTTTTAAGACAGACAATTTACTGGCTTTGCTTTGTGCGAAATATGTAGTAAGAAAAAAAGAGAAATTGAAAATGTTTATCAAATCGCACATGGGCCTTCGTTTTCCATTAAGAAACGGTAATCACATTATTGGAAAAGTTCTCTATTTGAAAAGCAAAAGAAATTGGCTGTGCAATGGCTATCAAATCGACTTATCCAAAAAACTTATCAGTTACTAATTTTTTGATAAGTTGATAAGTTTTCTTTTGATAAGTAAAAAGTTTAATACTTATCAACTTTACTTTCAAAAAAAAAAATAAAGCTTATCCAAAAGTTGTAAAGTGATTAGTGATAAGTTGGTGGTGCAATTGGGCCCTGGTAAGTCTACCATTGACCAGATTTTCACAGCACGTCAAAGCCTGGAGAAGATACTAGATAAGCAATTCGACAATACACCATCTTTTTGTCGATTTTAAAACTGCTTTTGATAGCATGAAGAGAAGTTGCTTGTATGACTCTTGCCACCAGGTGCTACTTTGGGCTCTCTACACGAACACAAATCACGCTCACAAGTCTTTCGTTATGCCCTTTCTTCTATATGGCGCAGAAACGTGGGTGATGTCTAATAAAGATGAGAAGGCTTTGGGTGCTTTCAAGAAAACTGTTCGCGTGGACGACGGGTATCGGAGAATATGTAATGTATAATGGCGTTTTCGTTTCTACAAAAAATGTTGCCTTCTCATTGCTCTCTTAGTATTTGTGCGTAGAGGGCAAATAGAAGGTAAATATTTTTGGTAGAAACGGAACGCCATAAGGTTTTTAACAACATTAACATAGTGAAGCGCATAAAAATACAAAGTTTGCGCTGGCTTGGAAATGGTGTACGCATGATGATGACTCTCCTTCGACTCCGCAATTTCGCACAATTCGTAGAAGAAGAGTCGACTATACGCTTTGTTATCTACTTTGAAGTGGATTTTTTGTATTACTTCGCTAGCTTATATAGAAAAGTTGCTAAGTCCATTCCTACAAATTTGAGGCAGAGAATAAATTTATAGATAAATTTTTCCCCGGTTAAGTCCGCCATTGCTATAGCCGATTGGATGCACGTTCGACGAGAACTATCGTGTTGGTCTCAAATTCGATCCATAAGGCACGAAAACTATTTTTTTTATATTATTAAGCAACAATATGGCTTTATTTTAATTTTGATGGTTACATACTACATATGTTTTCATTATTTATTAATACAAAGCATGATTACAAACAATAATACATAGATACTAGGGATATTTCGAATGTCATATTTTTCACATTCGCGAATGCGAATGCATATTTTCGCTTTCGCTGGAGGAATCTTAAATTATTTCTAGGTTGCTTATAAGAATTTCAGCAGTACTTATTGAAGGCCCATCTTGATATACTATATATGCTTGATATACTACTTAGAGCCGTTTTCTGAAGTAACCTTTATGTTTAAGGCTCACTTTTTATATAAAGGTTGGATTAAAAGTAAAGCTATGTCTAAAGTAAATCATTTCCATTATCGGTTTATGACGTATGTGTGTTTTTTGGATGTAAACCAAATTAAAACGGATAGTAAAATGCTTTACTTTAGACACAATGATAAGTTTTAATGCAACCTTTAAATATAAAGTGAGCTTTAATGTTACGGCCCTTAACCGTTTAGTGCCTGAAACTAAAAGCGGATGGTTGTCCGCACCTGATTAGACATACTAAGAGCCATTTCAATAATATTAGAGTGGACTCTTTGCCCATGTACACATTCGCATTCGCAAAATATTCGTATCCTTTGATGCGAATGCGAATGTGTAAAATGATGCAAATCATTCGCATTACGAATGCGAATGCAAATATTCGCAACATCCCTGATACATATAATATAGAAAGGCCCTAACTAATTTTCTTTCGAAATACAGCTTTGTAGAAAAGTGGGCCGATTACTTCTTAACCAGAATATAGAATTTAAAAATAATTGTTACAATATTAAATTACATACAGCCTTTAATAAAAAAGAGCGTTTGAAAGTTTGAACGAAATTTAGAACTAAAAAAATACTTTTTTTTGATTTTAAAATTAAAATGCCAACTAGGGCTTTTCTATATTAAGGTAACAATATGTATGTAAGTACATACATATAAATTATATACTATATAAATGCTTAATGATAAGTTCGTAAAATAAAATCAAAATTCATAATCATTTTTCAGTTCAAAGTCGTTTTTCACATTAAATACATGGATCGTGTTTATCGTTGAAATGGGCACATGTTATTTTAGGTCCACTACGTATTCTTGGTACGGGTATTCGGAAAAGATTACCCTTCGGCATGCAAACGCAAATTTTGTATTGAATACTGCCAGTGCGAAGACCGAATTCAGAACTGACGATAGGTATTTTATCCATATCTAGGTAAATACCAGCTCCAGCCTCTAAAATAACCAACCCTTCAGTTGAATTAACCAGCATATCATATGATTGTGACTGGAGCAAGATATTTGCTGCGTCTAAAGAAATCCCTTCTGAGCCTTTAAACGAAACTCCTAAATCTGCTTCCAAGTTAAGCGAACTATCTATGGGGCTTGCTATGCGGCTGGCACTTATAGTTTTTGCTAATAAGTTTCCAGAACCTGCTGGTATATTATAATGTGGTCGATGAGAAGTAAAAATAGTATCGCCGCTAGTCGAATATTTTACTTCAAAATTGTTAACTCCCTGAAATTGTATGCCCGACTGATCTAGTAACATGCGATTGTAAGCCTGGCCATTCTTGTGAAGGCGTACATAGACACCATCGTCACCAGTAATGCTAACTGGTTGATCAATAAAACCTTCAATTCGACCGGTTTGTTTGCTGTACACTCGGTCTAAATCAGTGTAACCGTAAAACTTTACCAGATCATGTTCGGGAATAATCTCTATTCCGCTAATGCCTCGTCCAAGATGCATTACAGCAAATATTGTAAGCATAAGTATGAGATTTCCTACTGTAAGTGTCAGTAGTATTATAAAAATTGTCCAAAATGCAAAACTTTTGCGGCCTTTTTTAATAGCTCCACTATTGCCGTCATCTAAGCCACAATGATACTCTTTTTTTATACAATTATCAACATTAGTTTGTAGATGAAGGTCTGATTCCATTGGAAGGGTAGCTGACATAGCGTTTTCTGAAGTTGCTTCATCAGTGTACGAAGGCGAAGGCCCGCGTACGAACGTATTTCCATAGTTTCGCATTGTTTAATTACAAATTGGATTAAACTCAGCCGCCGATTTTAACTTCAGAAATTTCTATTGAAGATGTTTACTTTTACTGTATACACAATTTTCTTAAATGAACAAGAACTGACAGAAAGTCATATTTTCTTAAACATCTTTAGTGCTCATGCGCGGAAATAAAAATATGTATGTAGAAATACTACTGTAATAATACTTATACAAAAGCAAATAGAACGGAAAAAGATAAAACACAACACAAATTTTCAAATGAGGTATATGTATTAAAATTCATATCGCACCCTTAATAAAAAACAGTCACAACTCAAAATGTTTGGACATTAATTTTTTCCCATAAAACAGTTCAAGGGCCATATTTCTAATGTCGACCAAAATTCTAATTCATCATTATCTTCTTTAATTAGAAATATACTAATAAAACTGTGTTGGTTTTGCTGCGTCGCTTGTGTAGCATCAAACGTTTTTGCCGTTCCAGAGCATTTGGGATTTTTTTAGTTGTGACTGTTTTTGATTTAGGGTGCGATATATGTACATATGTGTATGAATATATGTACATATGTACATATGTACATATGTAGATGTATATACCCTGCAGGAAATTGAATTCGTTTGAAATTAATTTATAAATTACTTTATTTTCAGTGGTAACTAATTAAAATTCTCACTATTTTACCTGCAACGAACTCATTTATTTAATATGGTGATGTCCTAGGAAGCAGTCAATTGCCTTTTGCTGCATGTATTTTCAACTACTTTAAAATGAATTCGGCTTAAACAACTTCAAAGTCAGTATGTTTGGTTTGAATACGCTTTAGTTCTGCACTTCACTGATGCCTTTTAATAACTAAGAAAAACCGAAATTAAAAAATTTAAAATTAAATGAGATTTGAACATGAACATTCTTGGCTGCGACCAATTGTAGCAAACATCTTTGCACGCTGAGCTACTGCCAGCCATGTAAATGTGCTTTCAAATATTCAATTTGAATTGTATGCAAGCAGCAAGTCGACTGTCCGACACTGCATTTTATTTCAACTACTTTAAAATGAATTGGTTTACACAACTTCAAAGTGAGTATATTTCTTTTGAATACGCTTGCATTCTGGACTTCACAGATGCTTTTTCATACTTCCAAGACACAAATTGTTTTTGGAGCAATAAGATTAAAAAAATTCGAAACATTTACTCATTGCATTTGTTTTAAAGTAGTCTTTCAATTAGTTGATTAAAAAAAAAAAAATCAATTGTTTCCGCCAGGGTATGTACACATGAAAATGTATGAAGGTATGTATGTATATTAGACCGTATCACACCGTATCACAAAAACATGGTCAATATGTTCCAAGCGATTTTGAACACGCGGAAAGGTGTTCGCGCAAAAATACTCTGGTCATGATTTTGTATACGCATGAAATTTTCGTTGGAAAATAATTTTTAAAGAAAATTTCAAAATTCGAAAAATAATTCCGAAGTTTTTTAAGTTCAAATTTTCATAAACAAACCGCTTATCCAAATTAAACAAGGTTGGTATCAAATGAAAGAGGACTTAAATACCCTGCAGGGAGTGACGTTAGCTTATACCTAACTTTAGTCTGTTTACGCGAACACTAGTGCTAACTATTAACTGTGTATTTTGTTCGAAAAAAGCTAACTACTTTTGTGGGGCGATGGCCGCAAAAAAGTCAGACCTGGATACCTCTGCATTACATGTCAACTAACTTGTAACTAACTACTTTTGGACATAAAATATCAATAAGAAAAACAAAATATTTTTTTGTTTTTTTACTTTTTTATTTACTTATTTATTTACTTTATTTTATTACATTTCATATTTGTTTACATATTCTGCTCTGGGTGGCCCCATATTCGAACACCGTCAGACATAACTTCAAAATGATAGTATAAAATTTCGATCTTCCTTTTATTTGTCCTGAATATGAAAAAGAATCTGCGAAGTTCAGAAAACAAGTGTATTGAAAGTAATTTTTGTATGAGGATATTTAATAGAAACTTGTAAAGAAAACCAACTCCCGATTGCGTCTGCATGACTCCTGCACGACTTTACAATTCACTTTAAGTTGGTTTTGTCATAGCTAATTAAAAGTGAGGTTTTAATCGAAATCTAGCCAAAAAGCTAACTATAAGTTGGTTAGTTTTAACAACTGATAATTTTTCACTGCAGGGTAGCTTTAAAGCTGAAATGTCTAAACGAGGAAAGCCACATATTGAAAAATATTTCAAAAATGCTAATTAATTACCATAGAACAAACCTTGTGACAAACCTTGCGGTTTTCTATGAATTTTGTTTGTCCGCTTTTAATAATCATAATCAGGTTGATGCAGTTTATACAGACTTTTCCAAGGCATTCGACAAAGTAAGACATTTAATTTTAGTATCCAAATTAGCAAGTTTAGGTTTTCACTCCTTGGATAAAATCATACCTATCGTCGCGCAAATGTGCAGTGGTGGTGGATAATGCTTCTTCTCGTCCTTTCATTGCATCTTCTGGCATTCCCCAGGGAAGCATATTAGGCCCCCTTCTATTCGCCATTTTCATTAATGACATCTCCAACTGCTTTAAACACTCGAACTTTCTCTTATATGCTGACGACTTGAAAGTATTCACAACTGTTTCAATTAGTTTAGATTCTGATAAGCTCCAATCGGATCTTATTAATGTTGCCTCCTGGTGTGGTAAAAACCAACTACATTTAAATATAAAAAAGTGCTTTCATGTTTCTTTCACTAAATCACGTTCCCTTATCCCTACCTCATATTACATTGGTAGTTCCCGGCTAAGCACTGTTAGTGTAAATTCCTGTTTCAGAGCCACTTAAACTGCACTATAGCAAAGTCATATTCCATGCTTGCTTTGATTCGCCGCTTTAGTTCAGATTTTAGTGATCCTTACACCTTGACAGGCTAACCTAATATTCACGCACGCCGCCAATTTACTGTCAAAAATTTCTCATGCACATACAACTTGTATGGGACCAACCGAAATTGAACGGCGTGCGTATGAAGCTAACTCAATTTCCAATTTTTGTTCTGCGTGACATTTTGATTTGACGTTTCGCTCAATGAAATCAAATGCAAACGCACGCAAGCCAATTTCGGGTGACGCAAAAAAACAAATTCGACGGCATGCGTACCAAAATGCAAGCCGCAAATATTAGGTTAGCCTGTAAAACTGCTGTTTACCTCACTTGTGCGCTCCAAGTTGGAATACGCTTTCTTCATCTGGAGACCATGGCCCCTATTATGAGTTGCATTCGATTTTCGACTGTGGTCGAAAGTGCTGAGCGAACGAATTTTCATTTGGTATTATGGCGCTCATTCGATGAAGAATAGCGCTATTGTGAATTTCGCTCGTTTAGGTTGTTCACAATAGTATATTTTTCACCGCTGAGAAGCTTTGTTTACAAATCGAGCAAACTAAATAGTGTGCTTATACATATTTATGTAAATTTGTGCAAATTAAAATGAAATAAAAATGAAAGCAAGTTTATAAAAACGTGGAAAAAATTAGTACAACGAAGTTCTGGGGTTCAACGATTCGTCAGAGGATGAGAGTTTAGTGAACTGACCAGGAGTAGTAAATGTTTAAAGAGAGTTTAAGTGTAGTCTTTAGAATATATTTTGACATAAAATATATTTAAGAAATTTGTCTACAGATTTACTACAAACTTCCGACTGTCTAAAGAGGCGTTTGTGAGCCAAATCTATTTAAAATATTTTAAAACTATCCACAGCTCTATGATTTGTTCTCAGAAATCGTGCCAACTGAGTACTGGGATTTTCCTTCACAAGTAAAGCAGTCTTTCGAGCTTGTGTTTTGTATTCACGACGTTAAAACTGCATGAAATTGATAAAAAATTGTTTAAAATTAGTGTCTACCCACCAAAAAGTAAGAAAACAAATGCAAAATCATACATTTTTCACAATTTTCTAACACTTCGCTACCCCATCGAAAGCAAAATTCTGTTCGACAGAAAATTCGATACTCAACGAAAATTTCGACACGGTTGCATAGCTCATAATACGAATTTCACTTTCGATCTTCGAACTTCGATAACCAGCGAAGATCGAAAATCGAATGCAACTCATAATAAGGGCCCATATTTTGACTGCCATATAAGGAGACTTCAACGAATACAAAAAACGCTTATTCGGTTTGCCCTGCGTTCTTTACATTTTACTGATCCGATTCCTCCTTATAATGCTAGATGTCAGCTAATCAACTTAAAATCTTTAAACACTAGAAGGACTATACTCTCGCTCACATTTGTCTTTGACATTGTACTAGAACGCATTTTCTTCAATATTCCTATAAGAAGTCTTCGAAACCACGATACTTTTTAAAACCTTATATGCCTTAAATTCGCCAATTTTAATAATAATAATAATAATATCCCAACGGTTTTTACCCTCCATTCCCGCCCATCCGCACGAGGGGCGCAGTCCGCATGACGTACGGAACCAATATTTTAAATTTTTGTGCCGAGTCACGATAGGCAGGAGTTTGTTAAGTGTCGAGATCTAAAACTGTTCAGCTACAGAACTAAATTCATCAGCTGATTTTATGTATTTATGTCAATAATTCACTTATTGAGAGAGGAGAGTATCGCTTTCTTAATGCTGAAAAGCGGATCTGATATATCAAACGTGCTGGAATGAGAGTTAAAATCCTGGCATAAGCAACGGAGTGGGTCGTGCAATTCAAAATTGGTTTTACAAGCTTTCAGAAATATGGGACAAAAGTGTCTTGATACGCGTGACGGAACATTAAAGCTTACATCAGCCAGAAGAGACGGACTTGAAATTGATCCTGTCAGTAATTTAACCATAAAAATTATACTAAGCATTTCCCTGCGACTGGCAAGTGTAGGAAGGTTAATAAGTTTTAAGCGACTCGTATAAGGTGGAAGACTATATTGAGAATCCCATCGGAAATTTCTTAAAGCAAAAAGTAGGAATTGTTTTTGAATTGATTCTATCTTGTCTGAGTAAATTTGATACCTTGGATTCCAAACCACCGAGCCGTATTCCAGAATCGGCCTAACTAATGTTGTAAACAGAGTTTTAGTGATATAAGGGTCACTA